CTGTGACGAGTGAATTCACCAGTACTTTAGACATCCTGTAAAATTACTGCAATTCCCCAAAGCTGATCTAGCCCTAAACACTTCCTGAGCTCACCTGAAGCGCACGTCCCTCTCCCAGTCTGCTGTCCAGCATGGACTGTGCTGGATGGGCACCGTGACACACGCCCCTTGTTTCTGTTCTCCCCCGAGCAATCACCAAGAACTCTTATTTTCAGGCACTGTGTGGCCATCAATTCACTTCTCTTATTTCCTAAATGTTAATTAGAGGCGGTGCAATTAAAAACAGAAGGAAGCTAGTAAGGATGGGGCTTTCCTGGGTGATATTGTTTTGAGATGAATCTTCCAAGTGTTAAAAATCACACCATTCTATGCCTAAGGAGGGCAGAAGTGAAGTCCAGGAAAACAGTAGTCCAGGGAGATCCATAGTTGTTTTTTTTTTTTTAGGTATTCATACTGGTAATACAGACACACTTAACTCTTTTTCCTTCTAACATGGACTTCATAATAGGCATTGTCTGCATATCACCTTATTTGTGTTGTAAGCAGGGTTGTGCATTATGAGGAAATTGTGCAGCATCTCTCTCCGCCCACCCACCCACCCACACTCATGCACAAACAGGTCATGGTCTTGAACGGGCTAGAGAGACTTAAGAGGCTCCGAGGGCTTCTCAATCAGGACCAGGCTAAAGAGTGAAGTTTCTGGGTCTGGATCTTAACAGTCACATTCCCTCCTCCCCAGCCCTCTCCCCACAGTATTGGAAGACAATGAGAAAGGAAGAAATTCTATTTTCTGTTGAAGCTGAGACACAAGCTTAAGAATCCCAGGAATCTGAAAGGCATTATTTTGGTCTTTTGAACAAAGGAGAGACGATGCCGTTAAACCTCTGAAGGCCCTTCAAAGTGAATTTCTGCTAAATAGAATCTTGAGACATTAGACACATAAAGTTGGCACGCAGAAAGCCCGGGTATTGAATGAGAGGTTTGCTGGTTTATGTAGATAAGCCATGCCCATCCACGTTCTGAATGCTTTGATGTTTACTAGAAAACAACACAAACCTCAGTCTTGCCAGGAAGTCAGTAAAATATCCTTTGTATATTGAGTTACTTGCTGCTCTGTCTACATTTCTTTTTCAAGTGTACTAATTGTTGGACTATACAAATTAAGATCAAAAACATCAAAATAAATGGAAGAGAACTTTGTTACCTCGCTCCTGTTTCATGAGTATCCTGAGCCATGTCAGTATTTTCTTTGTTTTAAGCGCTCACCTATGTGCTCACTCTCCCCCTTCAATGATTTTTCAGTCCTTGCTTGCAAGTAATTGGTATTGATTTTGCAGGTTACTTCTAATGTGTTCAGTTCCTAAAAGAAATCTAACTGTACCCCTCTCATCCTCTAGTCCCCAGGTGAAAATAGTATTTATAACTTCAGAGCAAATGGCAGTGTTACCAATTTCCTTAGGCTGAAATGAGGGGGGTATGAGTTTCTTCAAGGAAGGAGTTTCTGCACTTCCTACCTGAAACGTACTGACATGTTTTTAGCTCCCCATTATTTCAATTCAATGCACTAATATACAAAGTGTGGTGGGCAGTGTCCAACACTTCTTATGCTAGAGGAGTAAACAGCATAGGAATCGTTTAAGAACAAGGCCCTAGGGATGAACAAGGAATAAGTCTGTCTCTTAAATCACCACGTTCAACTGGGTGGTTCATTAAAAACACTGGCAACTAATAGCTTTGAGCAGCAGGCAGCTTGCTGATTACAACTAGGTTTTGCAAAACTGTGGCTGCAGAAGGGGCAAGAACTGAAGCCTTCCTGAGAGACAGAAAACTAGGGGAACATATAGGAGTTCAAAGTAGGAGAGAAAAGAAAGTGTAACGTATAAGGCTGGGGAAAGAAAATAAAGGACCCACGGCTTTCCATAGTAGTAAAACACAAGAAGGATATAAGCAGACAGTATAAAGATGAAGTCAAATATACAGTTGGGAAAATTCTGGATTATTGTTAAACAAGCTTGCACCCAGAATCAACTTAAAAAGGTGATACCTACTATAGAAGATAGTGTCTTTTGGTTAAAGTAATATTCCCTGTACTAAATGTCATCTCTTAGAGAAGTGACAAATAGCAAATAATAAAGCTGAAATGTTTAAATTTACATGTTATTAATTTTTTGTAAGTAATCAGCTTTCTCCCCACCCAGTCCCTCATACTTTGACAGTGCTGTCTTAGTGATACTCTATAATAATCAGTTGGCAATCATCAGCATCAATCTTTGAAACACCCATTTGCTGTCTGCTTAGTGAAGGGGTGTCAATGATGAGGCCACAATTCCTTAAGTCAGTCAGTCAGTCAGTTCAGTCGCTCAGTTGTGTCCAACTCTGCGACCCCATGAATCGCAGCACGCCAGGCCTCCCTGTCCATCACCAGCTAGCGAGGTTTACTCAAACTCACGTCCATAGAGTCGGTGATGCCATCCAGCCATCTCATCCTCTATCGTCCCCTTCTCCTCCTGCCCCCAATCCCTCCCAGCATCAGGGTCTTTTCCAATGAGTCAACTCTTTGCATGAGGTGGCCAAAGCACTGGAGTTTCAGCTTCAGCATCAGTCCTTCCAGTGAACACCCAGGACTGATCTCCTTCAGGATGGACTGGTTGGATCTCCTTGCAGCCCCTTAGACAAGTTTAACAAAAGAGCTCTGCCGCTGCTGCTAAGTCGCTTCAGTCGTGTCCGACTCCGTGCAACCCCATAGATGGCAGCCCACCAGGCTCCCCTGTCCCTGGGAGCTTTAGTCAAAGACAATTAACACAGCTGAGTGGGGTGGATAAAGGAGCAGGAGATGTTCCGTCATTATGTATGAACATTCTGCAACGATCCGAGAGGCTGATGGAACATACAACATGCCAAGAATGTTCCTAGAAACCAGATTTAAACCTTCAGTGGAAACTTACAATAGTATTACTTCCAGGGGGCTGGGAATATATAAAATAGACTCATTTTGAATTATTCATGGAAATTAAGTCACTAAAACACTAAAAGCATCCTGTTATAAAGCAGTTTTCCTTATGAAGATTTAAAATATTTTACCAATGTGCTCAACTAGCATAGAGATCTACCCTTTGGGATGTACACATCTCTGTTTTTACTGCCTTTGTAGAATACTCGAAAGAACTGTCTAAATTTTTCTTTCTCCAATTTTCTGATTTGCTCTGTGTGTGTGTGTGTGTGTGTGTGTGTGTGTGTGTGTGTGTGTCTGGTGGGGATGGGGATTTGAAATACAGAGAATCCATTCCCGTTCCAGCATACTCTAGTGTGTCTTATGTGCTCACCACTTCATATTAATAGAATTTGCTCATGTCAGACAGGAGAGGAATTCTATATTACTCACTCTTACAGTTTTCTGCCCTCAGTTGGACCAACTGGGCACTTTCTTCTTTTGCAAGCACCTTTCCTTCTTAGCTTAGTGATAAAATTCCTGATTTTCTTCCTTGCCCATTGACAACCTCCATCAATCCATTCTTCCCCGAAGTGAATGGTATTTTGTTTTTAAATGAGATCAGATGATTTCATTCCTTCAATAATCTTCCAATAACCTCCAACAGCTTTCCATTGCGTGTAGAATAAAATCTAAATTCCTCATCATGTCCTATACTTTCTGCTTGGTCGAGCTCCTGCCTACCTGCATGACCTCATCCTGTATCATCTCACTATGGCCCACCTGCTGCCTGCCTTCCTCCTGTTTCTCCTCAGCTATTTCCATCTTCAGGGCCTTTACCTCTGCAGGTTATTCTGCCTAGAAAGGGCCTCCCTCACCCCCTCAGCTCCTCACAGCTCTGCATCTTGGCACTGGGTCTCAGCTCATAAGTTATTTTCTCTAAAAGTCTTTCTCTAGAGCTCCCATCTCACGTTTATCTCAACTTTCTCATATTAATTTCATTCATATCACTTATCACATTTAGTAAATATGTGTTATTTGTCATTTTATCTTTTCCTTCCACTAGAATGTACACAGCATGAATATAAAGAACATGCCAATTTTGTTCACATCTACATTCCTAGGAATTAAAATATCGCTTGGCATAGACTAGGTGCTCAAATATTTTTTGAATAAATAAATCAGATACTAACAAAATTCAAGGCCTGAAAAGTAAAATTTGACTTAAAATTATTATTCCAAAGAACTGCCACTTCAAAGTTTTATCTATCTTGAGGCAGTATTACTCTTCTGTCTTACTATTTACTCTTCTTAAAACTTATTTACAGTTTTGAGTAATTAATATAATCACATTGTCTAAAAATACATGAGAATTCTTCACATTTATGTCCCTGCTCAGTCACCATATACTCGCACCTGTCATAAACAACTACAGTCATACCTCAGGGATATCCTGGGTTTGGTTCCAGACCATGGCAATAAAGCAAGCACTGCAATAAAGTGAATCACATAATTATATTTGGTTTTCCATTGCATGTAAAAATTATGTTTACAATGTACTGCAGTAGAGTGCACAATAGCATATCTTAAAAAACTCTGCATATACCTTAATTTAAAAATACTTTTTTTAATTAAAAACACTATCCGTCATCTGAGCCTTCAGTGAGTTGTAACTTTTTTGCTGCTAGAGAGTCTTGCCTTCCTGTCAATGGCTTCTGACTAATCAAGGTGGAGGTTGCTGAAGGCTGGGGTGGCCGTGGCAATAGTGAAGATAAAACAACAACAATGGAGTTCACTGCACCAATTCACTCTTTCTTTCATGAATGCTTCCTCTGTAGCATGCAATGCTGTTTGATAGTATTTCAAAACTGGAGTCAATCCTCTCAAATCCTGCTGCTGTTTTATCAGTCAAGTTGATGCAATATTCTAAATCTTTTATTGTCATTTCAACAATCTCCGCAGGATCCTCACCAGGAGTAGATTCCATCTCGAGAAACTGCTGTCTTTGCTTTTCCACAGGAAGCAGCTCCTCATCTGTTCAAGTCTGACCATGAGGCTAGAGCAGTTCAGTCACATCAGCAGGTTCCACATTAAGTCAAGTCCTCTGGAATCTCATGAGATCTGCAGCTACTGTCGTCACTGAAGTCTTGAACCTCTCAAGGTCCTCCATGAAGGTTGGAATCAACTTCTTCCAAAATCCTGTTAATGTTGATATTGGACCTCTTCCTATGAATCATGAATGTTTTTAATGGCATCTAGAAGGATAAATCCTTTCCAAAAGGTTTAAATTTACTTTGCCCAGATCTATCAGAAGAATGGCTACTTGTGGCAGCTTTAGCCTTACAAAATGTATTTCATAAATAATAAAACTCAAAAGTAAACACCTCTCCTTGATCCATGGGCTGCAGAATGGATGGTGTAATAGCAGGTTTGAAAACAACATTAATCTCATTGTACATCTCCATCAGAGTTCTTGGGTGACCAGGTGCAATGTCAATGTATAGTAATACTTGAAAAAAAATATATATTTTCCTGAGTGGTAGTCCTCCACAGTGGTCTCAACCAAGTCAAATATTCAGCAAACCATGTCGTAAACAGACGTGCAGTCATCTAGGCTTTGTTGTTCCATTTAAAGAGCACAGGCAGTGTAACATTAGAATAATTCTTAAGGACTCCAGGGTTTTGGGAGGTAAGTGAGCATTGGCTTCAACTTATAGTTACCACTTAGCAGCTACACTAGCCCCTGACAATAGAGACAGCCAATGCTTTGAGGCTTTAAAGCCAGGCACTGACTTCTCCTCTCGAGGTATGAAAGTCCTAGGTGGACTCTTCTTCCAATAGAAGGCTGTCTTCTCTATACTGAAAATGTGTTGTTTAGTGCAGCCAACTTCATTAATGGCGTGAGCTGGAATTCCATATATCTTGCAGCCTCTGCGTCAGCACTTACTGCTTTATCATGTACTTTGATATTATGGAGACAGTTTCTTTTCTTTCCTTAAAACTCATGAACCAACCTCTGTGAACTTCAAACCTTTCTTCAGCTTCATTAACTTTTTCATCTTTCATAGACTTGAAGAGAGTTCGGGCCTTGCTAGAGAATAGGCTCTGACTTAAGGGACCAGTAAAAAATTTTATCCATATCAGCAATAAGGCAGTTTCACATTTTTTAAAAAAATCATTTGTGTCTTCACTGGAGTAGCACTTAATTTCCTTCAAGAACTTTTCCTTTGCTTTCACAACTTGACTAATTGTTTAGCCCAAGAGGCCTAACTTTCATTCCATCTAAGCCATTGACACGTCTTTCTCACTGATCATTTTTAGCTTTTGATTTAAACGGAGACACATGCGATCCTTCCTTTCACTGGAACATTTTGGGCCACTGTAGGGTTGTTCAGTTCAGTTCAGTTCAGTGGCTCAGTCATGTCCCATTATTTGTGACCCCATGGACTGCAGCACGCCAGGCTTTCCTGCCCTTAACACCCAGAGTTTGCTCAAACTCATGTCCATCAAGTTGGTGATGCCATCCAACCATCTCATCCTCTGCTGTCCCCTTGTCCTCCTGCCTTCAATCTTTCCCAGCATCAGAGTCTTTTCCAATGAGTCAGTTCTTCCCATTAGGTGACCAAAGTGTTGGAGTTTCAGCTTCAGCATCAGTCCTTCCAATGAATATTCAGGGCAATCCTCTGTTGTCCCCTTCTCCTCCTGCCTTCAATCTTTCCCAGCATCAGGGTCTTTTCCAATGAGTCAGTTCTTCCCATTAGGTGACCAAAGTACTGGAGTTTCAGCTTCAGCATCAGTCCTTCCAATGAACATTCAGGGCTGATTTCCTATAGGATAGACTGGTTGGATCTCCTTGCAGTCCAAGGGTCTCTCAAGAGTCTTCTCCAGCACCACAGTTCAGAGGCATCAATTCCTCAGTGCTCATCTTTCTTTATGGTCCAACTCTCACATCCATACATGACTACTGGAAAAACCATTGCTTTGACTACATGGACCATTATTGGCAAAGTAATGTTTCTCTTTTTAATACACTGTCTAGGTTGGTCATAGTTTTTCTTCCAAGGAGCAACTGTCTTTTAATTTCATGGCTGCAGTCACCACCTACAGTGATTCTGGAGCTCAAGAAAATAGTTTGTCACTGTTTCCATTGTTTCCCCATCTATTTGCCATGAATTGATGGGACCAGATACCATAATCTTTGCTTTTCGAAAGTTGAGTTTTAAGCCAGCTTTTTCACTCCTCTTTCCCTTTCATCAAGAGACTCTTTAGTTCCTCTTCACAATTACCTGGCCTGATTTCAACATCATTCTGTCTCAGGGAATAGTGAGGTCCAAGGGGATTGGTCAGTCAGTGGACCAGTCAAAACACATACAAAATTTATCAATTAAGCAGCTCACAGTTTTATACAGTCAAGGTTCATGGTGCCCCCAAAACAATTACAATAGTAACTTCAAAGACCACAGATCACAGATCACCACAACAGATAGAAGAAGAAAGTTTGAAATATTGCAAGAACCGTCATAATGTGACACAGAGATTTGAAGTGAGGTAAATGCTGTTGAGAAAATGATGCCTTGAGACTTGATAAAATGGAGGGTTGCCAGAAACTTTCAGTTGGTTAGAAAACAACACCACCACCAACAAAAACAACTCAGTATCTGTGAAGCACAATAAAATACGGTATGAAAAAAAAGCAAGTGTTAGTTGCTCAGTTGTGTTTGATTTGTGACTCCATGGACTGTGGCGCACCAAGCTCCTCTGTCTGTCTAATTCTCCAGGTAAGAATACTGAGTGGACAGTCATTCCCTTCTCCAGGGGATCTTCCCAAGCCAGGGATCAAACCCGGGTCTCCTGCATTGCAGGCGGATTTCTGCCATCTGAGCCACCAGGGACACCCCAAATAAGGTTTGCCTGTGTTCTTATTAGTGTCATTAGTATTAATATCTTATATATCCTTCCAGGTTGTTTGGGCTTCCCAGGCAGCACTAGTGGTAAAGAATCCACCTGCCAATGCAGGAGACACCAGAGACTCCGGGTTAATCCCTGGGTTGAGAAGATCCCCTGGAGCAGGAAATAGCACCCCACTCTAGTATTGTTGCTGGGAAATCCAGGGGCAGAGGAGCCTGGTGGGCTACAGTCCATGGGGCCGCAAAGAGTCAGACACAGCCAAGCACGCGCACACATGTCCCACCAGGGGGTTTCACATATTTCCAACATACATGAATATATGTTATTTCCCTTTATTGTCAGAAAAATGGTAATATGCTATACACATTGACCTACACACTCTTGTTTCTTCCAACAGTCTATCTTGGAAATATTTTCATATATTTACTATATGAAATATAGTATATATTTACTATAATATTCACTAATTAAGATAGAGTGACTCTGCTATAAGGATAGACAAATGGGCTAGGGTACTCCAATAAATAAATAAATAAATAAATAAATAAATAAATAAATAAATAAGTAAAAAACCACACAGCTAAAGGGTCAACTGACCTTCAACAAAGTGGCCGAAGGAATTCAACAGGGAGAGAGAGGCAATCTTAAGTTTTTCAGAAGCAAATGTTTCTGAAACAACTGATTGACTATAGGGAAAAAAGGAAAGTTTATCCCTACCTCACACCATACATCAAAATTAATTTGAAATAAGGCTGTAACCTGGTTTGAAAGCCAAAATTGTAAAACTTCTGGTAAAAAAATAGGAGAATATCTTGTGTCCTTAGGAAGGCAAAGATTTTCTTTCTTTCTTTTTTTTTAGATAATACAGAGAAAGCAGTAATCTCACACATACACACACATAAAATTAAATTTAAATTCATTAAAACTGAAAAATTTCTATTCATCAAAATGTATTACTAAGGGAATAAATAGGTGGGCAAAGACTGGCAGAAATCTAAATGGACTTAGGTCCAAAATAAAATACTTCTATAACTCAATAATTAAGAATCAACAACAACAGCAAAAAATAGACAAGCATACTTTTAACAAAGAAAGCTGTATAATACCCAGCAAGCTCAAAAAGTGCTCAGTTACTAGTCACTAAGCAGACACAAATTAAAACACAATGACATACTACCACATAGCCACAAGAAGAGATACATTAAATTTAAGATCCAAATTCATCCAGTGAATGTAAGGGTGGAGCAACTGGAACTACATTCCTTGGCTAGCAGATGTGTAAACAGGTACAGCCCCATTGGAAAACTGCCTCACGCTTTCTCCTAGCTTTAAACATACACCCACCTTATGGCCCAGCAAGTCCACCCCAAGGTGTAGTTTAAGAAATCTACCAAAAGATTTATAGAAGAGTGCTCACAGGAACTTTACTCACAATAGGAAAAAACTAGAAAGATCCCAAATGGCCATAAACTGGAAAATAGATGAATAAACTTAGGTACATTTATTCAAGACAACGGGATTCCCAGGTGGCGCGGTGGTAAAGAATCTGCCTGCCAAAGCAGGAGAAGAAAGAGAAATGGATTCGATCTCTGGGTCAGGAAGATCCCCTGGAGGAGGCAACCTGCTCCAGTATTCTTGCCTGGAAAATTCCATGGACAGAGGAGTCGGGTGAGGTCACAAAGAGTCAGACCTGACCTAGCAACTGAGCACAGAACACAGAGATTCAATGCAGTACTTCTTAGCAACATGGACAATACTCAGAAATACTGTGATGAAGCAAAAAGCCCAGCTTCAATGAGTAGAGTGAAGAGAAAGTCGCTTAGTCGTGTCTGACACTTTGCAACCCCATGGACTATACGGTCCAGTGAATTCTCTGGGCCAGAATACAGGAGTGGGTAGCCATTCTCTTCTCTAGGGGATCTAATCCAACCCAGGGATCAAACCCAGGTCTCCTGCATTGCAGGTGGATTCTTTACCAGCTGAGCCACAAGGGAAGCCCTTAATGAGTATACATAACACTATTTACATGAAATTCTGGAATGGGTAGAACTAATCTAGGTTGACAGAAATCCCTGATAGCCTGGGATGGGGCATGGAGGAACTTTCTAGGTGGATGGAAATGTTCTACTATATGATAGAGATGTGGAATGCACAAGTGTATACAGAAACCCATTCAAACTATGTTCAAAGCCTGTATCTTACTATGTGAATATCATAACTCAATAAAAATAATAAAGTCAAGTATTTAATATAATAGCAATACAACTGAAAATTAAATGAAAGAATTAAATAAAAAAAAAAGGGTCCAGATTTGGGATTCAGAAGTCATGATTTGGTTGGGGCTGGAGAAAGGAAGGTAGAGACTGAATGGCACTGGACGGTGGACCCCTTCAAAGGGGCTGCTGGGAGCTGAAGGAGAAAACACACAATTGAAAGTGCCAGTTGCTCACTCGTGTCTTACTCTTTGCAACTCCATGGACTGTAGCCCACCAGGCTCCTCTGTCCACAGAATTCTTCAGGCCAATACTGGAGTGAGTAGTCGTTCCTTTCTCCAGGGAAACTTTCTGACCCAGGGTTAGAACCTGTGTCTCCTGCATTGCAGGCAGATTCTTTACCATTTAAAGTCCTGCATTTGTAATCCTACCTTTTATTTATTTTTTTCAGCTGGCATAGCTCACAGCACAACTTTCAGAGCTGGAACCATTTATCTGAGGCTGAATTCTTTGCCCGTTATATCACTAATGAGGTTTGTGCCTTTCTCTGCCTTCTCACCTCTATGATTAAAATTCCATGGTGACCTTTAGGTTGAGTTACTCCTTCTTTTATCCAGAAACTGAATTAACCAGAGTCTCATCTAAAGCTTAAATTACCTGTAAACAAAATCACTTTGTAGAAGAAAGTGAGAAATGCCACAAGAAGCATGAAGACTGGATTCAGTATCTCTACAATGCCACAAAAATCGAGAGGCATTCTGCTTGACTTCACATTTATGCATGCACCTTGAAAGATATTATTTTAATATTCAGCTACCTTCTCTTCCTTTCCTTTCTCTGGAAACAGGAATTATAACTATAAATAAGAAAATGACAGAGTCTCCTAAGAAAATGAGATTTGCTCTCATTTAGCCTTTAAGCCATTTTGTTAATTGCTTTTTTTTTAAACGCTAGAAAATGAAACTTAATAAAGGGGAAGGGCTATAATTAACCATTGGGAAAAATATATACAAACTTAGAATTAGCACTATTAGATTTTTAGAAGGAAAGGCCAGGACAAAACTAGAATTGCAGTGTTTATAGAAATGGAGAAAGCATTTCCCTTTGACACTGGCTCCATCTAATATTTGCAAATAATACTGCCATCTGCTTCTCCCAACAGACTGTGTGCCTTCTCTTGGTACACCACGAGGAGGTGAACGAACGTGACTGTGCTGGACATCCATCACTTCAGATTCATTAAGTCAGTCTTCTAAGACTGATCACTGCACCTCTCTCTACGGCAATGCAAACATGATCAATGATTGTTCCTGTTCCCTTGATAGTACATGATTAGTTTCTGCAAATCTTGGAATAGGGTAAAACTGAATACAAATTATATTAGCAGAACTAATGTGCTTCTGATTGAAGATTACCTATTAATGGAAATTTCAGAAAAGGAACCTTATCAATTAACATAAGCCCCAAGGAGCAGAAACGAAAGGAAATTAGACCAAATACTACAAGAAACCAGCAATATAAGAGGATGATCATCAATAACATAGAGATACTCACTCATCCCACTACAGAAATAACATGATAAAACTATTCCTTTTGGTTAAAATGAATATCATCTGATTTAGGGTATACAATTAAGTGGGAAAAAGTGCTTTAAAAAATTTTAATAAAAATTTTTATGTAACAAACATACGGGCAAAGTGAGATGGTACAATGAATTCTGACAAACTTGTCATTTAGATTCAATGATTATCAAGGTTTTGTCATATTTGCTTCATTTTTTCCCCTTTGTTAAAAATTCTTAAGGCAAATTCCAAAAGCATGTAATCTCATATCTAAATACTGAAAGCATGTACATTGTTTTCACAAAGTAACAATGATATGATCTCATGTACATAGTAAGAGTCTGGTCCATAGTTAACTATTTTGCAATTGTCTTAAAAATGTCTTTTTCTTAGAGTTATGTTCAAATGCAGATCCAAAGACACAAATATTATATTTGTCAAGTCTCCTACGTCTTCTTTTCTTTTTTATCATAACTTGATTGAATTACATGAGCCTTTAAAAGCAGAGAACATTCACGGGCTGAAAGCAGAAGAATGTGGAAGAAGGGTAAGTCAGAGACATTCCAGTCTTGAGAAAGGGGGCATGCTTGCCGGCTCTGAGATGCAGCAGACACATGTAAGAATGGAGAGAAGCCTCTAGTAGACAAAGATGGCCCCCAGTAATGTTCAGTTCAGCCGCTCAGTCGTGTCCGACTCTTTGTGACCCCATGGACTGAAGCACACCAGGCCTCCCTGTCCATCACCAACTCCCAGAATTTGCTCAAATTCATGTCCATCAAGTCAGTGATACCATCCAACCATCTCATCCTCTGTTGTCCCCCTCTCCTCATGCCTTCCAATAAGGAAACTGGGACCTCAGTACTACAACAACAAGGAACTGAATCCTGACAAAAGTCTGAATGAGCTTGGAAGGAATTCTTTCAGAGAAGAGTTCAACTGGTAACACTTTGATTTTAGTCTCCTATGAGCCAGAATATAGAGACTGCTAGGGTCAACTCAGTCTTCTGGCCCACAGAAGTGTGAAATAATGAATCTGAATTGTTATAAAGCACTAAGCTTATGATATTAATAATTTGTGTGGCAATAACAGAAAGCTAAATCAATAATAGAAAGCTAAAGTGGTCTACAATACCAATTTATGGAAGGGTCTTAGGTCATACCTGAATGGTCTAGTGGTTTTATCCACTTTCTTTGTTTCAGTCTGAATTTGGCAATAAAGAGTTCATGATCTGAGCCACAGTCAGCTCCTGGTCTTGTTTTTGCTGACTGTATAGAGCTTCTCCATCTTTGGCTACAAAGAATATAATCAATCTGATTTCAGTGTCGACCACCTGGTGATGTCCATGTGTAGAGTCTTCTCTTGTGTTGTTGGAAGAGGGTGTTTGCTATGACCAGTG